CCCAGTGTCCCCAGGTGTTCCCCAATGCCAGCCCCCAGTGTCCCTCAGTGCCACACAGTGTCTCCCAGTGCCACCCCCGGTGCCATCCCAATGTCCCCCAGTGTCCCCCAGTGCCACCCCCGGTGCCACCCCGTCCCGCTCACCCTCCGGCCGGGCCGTGGGCACCACACGCGTGTAGAGCACCTCCCCCCCCTCGGGGGGCACCGCGGGGACCCTGCGGGGACAACGGGCACGGTGGGGTGGCACCGGGTGGCACCGGGGGACACGGGGACACCCCCGGGCCCCTTCCCCACTCACCTGTCCCGGGGCGTCCTGGGGGCTGCGGGAAAAGGGGGGGACAGTGGGTGACAAAAAATAAAATAAAAAATAAAGAAATAATTTAAAATAAAATAAAATAAAATAAAATAAAATAAAATAAAATAAAATAAAATAAAATAAAATAAAATAAAATAAAATAAAATAACATATAAAATATAAAATTCCCCCGACCCCAAAACCCCCCAGGACGCCCCAAACCCCTCCTGGGATGGCCCCGGGATGTCCCCAAGCCCCCCAGGGTGTCCCCACGCGGTGTCCCCACGCGGTGTCCCCATGTCACCCACCCCGGCGGTGGCACCGCTGCCAGCCCACGATGGATCCCGCGAGCAGCGCCAGGGCCAGGAGGGAGCCGCCGACCCCCGCGGCCACTGCTGGGGACAGAGGGGACACCGGGTCACCCGGGGTGCTGCGAGCCCGCGGGGACCCCGGGTGATGCCACCCGCGCCCGGTCACCTCCGTGTCACCTCTGTGTCACCTCCGTGTCCCCTCTGTGTCACCTCCGTGCCACCACCAGGGACAAACCCGACTGTTCTGGACCCCGCAGTGACCCCGGGTGATGCCACCCGCGCCTGGTCAACTCCATGTCACCTCTGTGTCACCATCAGGGACAAACCCACGGGCTGACCCCGGGTGATGCCACCCGTGCCCGGTCACCTCCCTGTCCCCTCCGTGTCACCTCCCTGTCCCCTCCGTGCCACCACCAGGGACAAACCCGACTGTTCTGGACCCTGCAGTGACCCCGGGTGATGCCACCCGTGCCCGGTCACCTCCGTGTCACCTCCCTGTCCCCTCCGTGTCACCTCCGTGCCACCACCAGGGACAAACCCGGGGTGCTGAGCCCCCGCGGAGACCCCGGGTGATGCCACCTGTGCTGTCCCCTCTGTGTCACCACCGGGGACAACCCCGGCGCTCCGAGCCCCCCTCAGTGACCCCGAGTGCCATCACCTGCGTCCCCGTGTCCCCACGCTGTCACCTCCAGGGCCAGCTCCATACTGAGAGCATGGAACACGCGGTGCCCGTCCTGTCCCAGCTGGTTGGTGGCCACGCACTGGTAGGTGCCCGAATGTGCCACCTCGACGTCCTCAAACTCCAGGAGGGGACCCCGGGCCACCTCCTGCCCGTTGAGCAGCCAGGTGAAGGTGACAGGGGCTGAGCCCACCTGCACCGAGCAGCGCAGGGTCACGGGATCACCTGCGCGCACCTGGTGTGCCAGGGGACCGGGGGTGATGGTGGCATTGGCCACGGGCACTGCGGGGACACAGACAGGGCTGGCACCGGGCGGGATGGGATGGGGGTGCCGTGGGTGGGGTCACCCCCAGCGCGAGGGTCCCGCTCACCCAGCACGGTGACATTCAGGGGGTCACTCTCGGCCACGCTCTCCCCGTTGCTGACCCGGCACCGGTACTGGCCGCTGTCATTGTCCCCAACGTGCCACAGCTCCAGGCGGGGCCCGGTGCCCAGCGGTGCCCCCGAGCCCTCCCGGTGCCAGGAGAAGGACAGGGGACCTGTCCCCTTGTCCACCACGCAGCTCAGCACCAGGCGGTCCCCAAGTGCCACCTGTGCCCCGGGGGGCTGCGCCAACAGGGACACCCCCGAGGGCGGGACCCCTGTGGGAGGGGGACACCAGGGGACAGTGAGGGACCCAGGGGAGAGGGGCAGGGGGACCCCAGGGAGGGAGAGGGGGGCAGAGATGGGGGGGCTTGGAAAGGAACCCCGAGGTTCGGGGAGGGGACACCGGGAGAGGGAGGGGGAGACAGCAGGAAGGGGTGAGGGGACCCAGGGAGGGGATGGGGGAGACCCGCGACAGGGATGGGGGTCCCGGGCAGTAATGGGGAGACACGGAAAAGGTGTCGGGGAAGGATGGGGGTCCCAGGCAGGGCTGGGGGAGCCGGGAAGGGAGGGGGGGGCCCAGGGTGGGATCGGAGAAGGGATGGGGGGACCCAGGGTGGGATCGGAGAAGGGATGGGGGGCCCGGGACACGGATGGGGAACCCGGGGAAGGATGGAACGAGCCAGGGAGGGACGCGGGCAGTGATGGGGAGAACCGGGGATGGTGTCGGGGAGGGCTGGGGGTCCCCAGACAGGGTTGGGGGACCCGGGAAAGGATGGGGAGATCGGGGAAGGGATGGGAAGAAGGAGCTGGGGAGGGAGGGGGGGACCCGGGAAATGTGTCAGGCAGGGCTGGGGGTCCCCAGATGCTGATGGGGGTCCCCAGACAGGGACCCGGGGAGGCCGTGGGGGCTCCCCGTGCCCATCCCCGCACTCACTGCGCACCGTGACGCGGAGCCGGGCGCTGCTCTTCCGCACGGCCCCTCCCTCGGAGCGCACCTCGCAGCTGTAATTCCCCGAGAGGGAGACCCCCACTTTGGGCAGCAGCAGCTGCGGGGTCCCCTGCGGGCCCCCCACCACCTGCCCGTCCCGGTAGAACACGTGCAGGAGGGGGGCTCGGGGCCGCAGGGGGCTGGGGGTGCTGAGGCAGCTGAGAGCCAGGGTTGAACCCTCGGTGGGCGCGGGGGGACCCTCCAGCACCGGCACCGAGAAGAGCTCTGGGGAGGAGAGGGGAGGTGAGGACGGTGACCCTGAGTCTGCTGGGGAGTGGCTTTGGGGGTGCCGGGATATTCGAGTTCATGCTGTGGGGGGCTCACCCTGCACTGTCACTGTCACCGGTGCTGACTCCCAACCCCAGTATCGCATCCAGCCCTTGCAGCTGTAGCGGCCGCTGTGGTGCAGCTGCAGAGGGGACAGGGGCAGCTCGGTCTGCTCACGGAACCACCCCAGTTCCTTCTCCTCATGGTAGAAGGACACCGAGGTGACAGTGTAGTTCTTCCAGCCCCGGCAGCGCAGTGTCAGCGTGTCCCCCTCCAGCAGCGCCCGCGCCGGCACCTGCAGCACCAGCCGGTCTGGGGGACAGAGGGGTCCTGTCACACCCCATGGCACCGGGACCCCCCATCGGGTCACCCCAGCGCACCAGGGGTCCCCAATTTCAGCACCGGGTCCCCCTCATTGTGTGCTCAGGGATGTGCTCAGAGCAGGGGACAGGCTCTGGGCACAGCACTGAGTGATCCATGGAGCGGAGCCCACCCAGAGCCCTCGGGGTCCCCGCGGTGCCAGGCTGGGGACACGCAAACCCCTCTCACCATTTGAGACAGTCACAGGGGAGCTGAGCCCGGTGCCAGGTCTGTGACACCTGTAGGTGCCACTCTCAGTGACAGTGACTTGGTCTCCTCCCTGCTGTCCCCATCGCTTCCTGTCCCTGTACCAGGTGGTGGCACCGGTGGTCCCCGAGCCCTGGCAGGTCAGTGTCACCCGGTCCCACAGCACTGCCGGCCTCCAGGGGGGCTCCACAAGGAGCTGGGGGGTCTGGGCACCTGTGGGTGACAGGGGACACCAGCCTGCCAGGGCCACCACGGGGCTGGGGACAGCGGGGTGGGGACATGGCATCCCCCGAGGACTCACCAGCGAGGCCGAGGGTCTGGGCTGCAAGGGAGAAGGGACAGGGCTGGGTGGGGGTGGCACCGTGGGGACACAGACCCGGGGGCGGGCTGAGGGGGCTGTCCCCGAGCTGTCCCCGCGGGGACACCGCTTCTTGTGGGAAAGTGCTCGGGGACAGTCCCCAGCAGGTCTGGAGAGGCTCCCAGGGGACAGCTCGGTGTCACAGCCGCCCACGCGCCACGTTGGGGTGGCACGGACACCTCCGCCACGGGGACACTGCAGCCAGGCCGGGCTGGCACAGGGCACCCCGCCGGCCCCACGGCCCCGTCCCCGTGGTCCCGTTCCGGTGGCACCTTGTCCCCAAGGCCACCTCCTCATGGTGCTTGTCCCCTTCTGTCCCTGCACGCCCCTGTCCCTGTCCCCGCAGCTGCCCCAGCCCCAAGGTGCCAAACCCCAAATCCCTGTCCCCAAATCCGTGTCCCCCATTGCTGTCCCCATCCCCGTCCCCAAATCCCTGTCCCCATCCCTGTCCCCATCGCTGTCCCCAAATCCCTGTCCCCCATTGCTGTCCCCAAATCCGTGTCCCCCATTACTGTCCCCATCCCTGTCCCCAAATCCGTGTCCCCCCACCCCTGTCCCCATTGCTGTCCCCAAATCCGTGTCCCCCATTGCTGTCCCCAAATCCCTGTCCCCATCCCTGTCCCCATCGCTGTCCCCAAACCCCTGTC